AACTAAAAATTTGGGATGTGAAAAGGTTGAAAGCAAAAGGAAAGAAAAAGATCTACCATGCAAGGGCTAATTAAAAGAGTAGTTACATTTATTACCAAGTAGACTTTAAAGCAAAAGGCATTAGGGATAAATATCTACTGTGCTAATATTAAAAGAATAATTCACTAGCAAATAGCAAATCTAAGCTTGTATGCACCTAATAACAAAGTCTTAAAATACACAAAGCAAAAAGTATGAGAAGTAGAAAATGCACAATTATAGTGGAAAATTTTAACAGTTCTTTTTCATGTGCCTGACAACATACTTTTAAAAACAGCAAAATTTTCGAGAATACAGGATAAACTGGAAAATCTAGTCATATAGAAATTTTAATGTATTTCTGTAAAAAGCAATAGGTCAAGCAGACAAAATATTCATAAGGCTACAGGAAATCTAAGTAATATAATTAATAAGTCTGATCTAATAGACCCATATAAAATGCTATACTTAAACATTAAGGCATACATATTCTTTTAAAAACTATACGAAATATTTATAAAAATTGACTGCACCAAAGCAAGTTTCAATAAATAACAAAGAATCTGCTTCATATAGATCACCTTATTTGACCTTAACTGAGTTAAGTTAGACATAAATAACTAAAGAATAACCTGAAATACCCCTCAAATACACCTGTATTAATTCACTGGTCAAAGAAGAAATCATACCTAAAATACGATTTTTTTTTTGTTTGAAACAGAATCTTGCTCTGTCACCCAGGCTGGAGTAGCGACATGATCATGGCTCACTACAGCCTCAAATTCCCAGGCTCAAGTGATCCTCCCACCTCAGCCTCCTGAGTAGGTGGGCCTATAGGTGCTGTTACCACACCTGGCAAGTTTCTAGAAAAGTTTTCTTCTGCAGAGAAATGGCCTGACTATGTTGTCCAGGCTGGTCTCAAACTCCTAGGCTCAAGTGATCCTCCTGCCTTGGCCTCCCAAAGTGCTGGAATTATAGGCGTGAGCCATTGTGCCCAGCCTAAAATCTAAACTTTTTTTTTTTTTTACCTCAATGATAACAAAAAGTCTATATATATCTTGTGAAATATAGCTTGAGTGGTACTTAAAGTGAAATCTCTAATCTTAAATATTAAAATCAGAAAACAGATGGCTAAAAATTAATTACCTAAGGCACCAATTCAAAAAAAAAAAAAAAGCAACAGAATAAATCCAAAAAGAGCAGAAGCAGAAGGGAACACTATATAATATATATTAATATTACATTATGTATTATATTCTCATGCATAATATAATAGTATATAATATATTCTATTGTGCCATATATAAGAATGTCATATATAATAATATATAAAGACAAAAATTGCTAGAACAGAAAAAGAAACAAAACCGAAGTCTGGGTCTTTGAAAACACTAACAGAAAGGAAACATTAGCAAAGAAAAAAAAAAAAAAATCTCTGGCACAACTGATCCAGATAAGAAAAGATACATATAAAATGATATTTGGAATGAAAAAATAAACATTATGGATAGATACAGCAGAGATTAAAATACATTAAGAGATAACTATGAACAGCATTTTGTCAACACATTTGAAAACCTAGATGGTATGGATAATTTCCTTGAAAAATATAGTGTATAAAAATAGATTCGAGAAGAAAACAGAAAACCTGAGGAGATCCATACGCATTAAACAAATGGAATCAGTAGTTAAAAATCAACCCACGAAATGTCTATCCCAGACCCAGACAATTTACTGGCAAGTTCTACCAAACATTCAAGGAACACACAATTCCAATCTTATACACACTGTTCCAGAAAATGAAAAAAGAAGGAAAATTTACCAGTTCATTTTATGAGATCAGTATAAGCAGACAAAGGCAAAAGGAAAAGGAAAAACTGCCGCCAATTTGACTTATGAACAAAAACACAAAAAGAATCCTAGAATGAAAATAATGTTGACCATCATTCATTCATTCATCCACTCATTCATTCAGTCAATCATTATTGAGCATCAACCGTGCGTGAGCAGGCAGTGTGCTGGTACCTTGAGAGCAGAAAGGTCCAGGAGCTTATGGCTTAGAGGAGATGGGTAATAAAGCAAATGATCACATAGGGTAAGTACACACAGTATGTTCTGGTAGGGTAACTGCATATAAAGGGGCATTTGACCCTGTCACAGAGGTCTGGGAAAGATTTCCCGGCACATAAGTGGAGTAACGGTGGGTGTGGGGAGACTGTTTTGTAGGCTGTTACAGGGCCTCAGGTGGGATATCTGGATGCAGTAGCAAGAAAGATGGATTTGAGCTCGGGCTGCCTTTAGAAAGGCTAAGTGGAGATGTTGAATAGGAAATTGGCCAGAGCCTGGAACTCTTCAGGAAGGGTGGGGCTGGAGATTTCAATTTGAGTGGCATCAACATGTGTTTAAACCCATCCTGGAAGATTGAGTTTGAAGAAGGAATTGTCCAACATGGTCTTGGGCTGTTGAGACTTTAAGAGGGTTGAGGAATGATACTGTGCTGCTTGAATTCACCTGATGCAGGGGCTACATTGAGTGAACTGGAGAAAAAACCGCATAAAATAATAATAATAACGAGCTATTACAAACAATGTAGTGCAAAAGGGCAGCAAGAGGGAATTTTTTTGGACAATAAACTTGTTCTGCATCTTGATTATGGTGGTGGTTACATGACTCTATGCATATGTCAAAAACTCATAGAATTACAGTCCAAAAAGAGTAAATGTTACTGCATATAAATGAAAAATAAATGAGTAAAAACAATGTAGTAATGGAGACTTACAATCTAGTTCTTTCTCAGCCACTGACTGTAACTGCAGCACTAGCCCCTCTCTAGATTTTAAATCAGTTCTGTGTCAGCCTGTGGAGGTCTATGCCAGAGAAGGGCCCCCAACTCTTGCCTTGCGAGGGACAGAATAAACATGTAGGCAGCAGAGGCCAAATGGCACTGGACTGATGGCCAGAAGGTCGGGGTGGGGTGTAGCCTGGTGAGTTTGGTACCTCTGAGACCCTGATGTAAAATGAGGGGATTAGATTAGGAAAGGCCTTTCTACCTAGGATGGCCTGTGGCTCTACTGTAAAAATTCCAAACACAATACAATTAGCTCTGTTGTCTGCATTTTGTTGAGAATAATCACTCGTAATAAACAATCATCATAACAACGAACTATTCCACACTTGAGACCCCAGATGATTTGGGAAGGAGCTTGGAGTGACAGGAAATGTGAGGGTTTGAGGTTTAAAGCCTTAGAGCACCTTCTCAATATGATTATATTGAGTAGTAATTGATGATAAACACTACTCAGGTTTACAGTGAAAAAGGAACTTTTACATTGGTTCACTTCAGCCTCTCACCTTCACCCCATCAATCCTGTCAAGGAGGAATTACTGCAATTTAGGGAACAAGCAGATTGAGAGTCTGGTCACTCAAGGCTATGGCTGGGGTTCAGATTTTCCAAATATTCCATTTTTCCAAAACCCACAGTGGATTTGGTTCAGTTTTGGTGTTGAGCATATTCTTTTGTCTCCCAATCCTATGAAAATTAATGAAAAAGTGTTATTTGGGCATCAATTCATGCCTAACATTAATCTCAGTATTTGATGATCCACAACTTTGTTACCCCTCATGCCATATTAAGTTTATTGCAATAATTTAAAACAATACTGATAATTGTATCCATATAGTTTATAAATTGAAACCAGCCGAAATTTGGCCAGCCTGGAATCTTCTGGGGAAATGTGCGATGTCTTTGAAAGGCTACAGAAATCGTCTTTTTGGGGTTTTCAGTGCACAAAGGTATGAAACCAGCATTTATCAAGAACCTGCTGTATGCCAGAACCGTGCTGCACAATACTGCTGCTCCTAAGGTGGGAGAGATTGTGAAGCCTTCTGCCACCCCAGCTACCTCCGCAGTTCGTGAGGGGTCTTGGGCTATTTCAGTCTCACGAATTTTATTATCCTGGCATACAAAAGCTGGGTAATTCAAGAAATAAAAAATATAACGAACGGATTACACAGGGGTTTCCTGAAATAAACCACCCATCACAGCCATCCCAGAGACACTCCAAAAGTACTTATTATATACAAACATTTGCTTTGAACCTCAATCATGTGACCTTGACCCCTACAACCTATCATATTATATTGTTACAACACTCTATGATTAACGCGGAAACCCTTTCTTCGGCACTTTCTCGCCACTGGAATAGCGTCAGTTTCTCAAAGTTCCAAAATAACCTTTCCCGGGCACGGATTGGTACCTCGACTGGGGAAGGGCGGGGAGCCGCGCAAGACGTGCCGGTGTGGAGCGAGAGCCAGAGAGAACTTCCAGCGCAAAAGGAAAATAAAACTTGTGGCTGGTGTTTGTGCAGGAGGGTCTCCGCCATCCTGAAGTCCCTCGATCCTGGGGGGTCTCGGGGGCCGCCAGAGTAGCGCCGGGGTGTGGGTTTGCTCCCGACGTCCTTGACCTAAATTTCTGAGCGGTGGCTGGAAACAGGGCGCAGCGCAGGGCGGGCGGCTGGTGCCATCCCCGGATCTCGGCGGCAGGGGCCGGCAAACTTGAATAGAGAGGGCGAACTAGAGAGGGTGGGGGGGGGGCGTCTTCACCCCGGTCCGGGTGAGGAGCCGCAGCAAGCTCCCCGCGCCTCCCCTCCCCCGATCCACCCGCCCCCCGCAACCCATGTGATCCACGGAAGTCGGGGTGCGCTCCCCGTCGCCCCGCGCCCAGCCGGCCCGGAGGCGGGGTCCCCTCGGCCCGCGGGGTTCGCGCGCCACCCGTGTGGGTCCGGCCGCGGGGGGCCGAGTGTGCGCGCGCGGGCGGGCGGGGGCCGCACTGGGGTGCGTGACGTCACCGGCATTGGTTACACGACGTTCTAGAACTCCGCCCCACGTGCGCCGGGGAGGAGGGGGAGGAGGAGGAGGAGATGGGGGTGGGGAGGAGGAGGGGGAGAGGTGGGGATGGGCCGGGGGGGCGGGGACGGGGGGTGTGCGAGGCAGCGGGGCTGAGCTAAGCCGAGCCCACGTGTGACGGCTCTCGCCGCTGCCCCGGCTCCGCCGCTCGCAGAGAGATTCGGAGGAGCCCGGGCGGGGGGGAGGAGGAGGGGGAGGAGGGAGCGGAGATCTCGGGGCTCGGAGCCGGCCGCCGCTCCGCTCCGACCGCTGTGGGGCTCGGTTTTTTGGGGGTGGGGGGGCGGGGGGGCTCAGATATGGAGGCAAATGGGAGCCAAGGCACCTCGGGCAGCGCCAACGACTCCCAGCACGACCCCGGGTAAGTTTCCAGCCGCTGCCCACCGCGCCGCCTCGGGCTCGCTCTCCTTGCAGCGGCGGGGACGGCGGTGCGCGGAGCCGGGCATCTCCCGCGCCCCCCCGCCCCTCCCGCGCGCCCCCCCCGTGGAAGTTACACACCTTTGGATTGCATTTCGCCGTCACCTTCTCCCCCACCCCACCTCCGGGCTCTCGCTCGCTCGCTCCCCCCCGCTTTCCTTTTAGCTTTTGTAAGTTACACGTCAAAATGGCCGATCTGACATCGGTGCTCACTTCTGTTATGTTTTCTCCCTCTAGTAAAATGTTTATCGGTGGACTAAGCTGGCAGACCTCACCAGGTAAGGGAGGGAGGGGGGGACGCCTGGGTCCCCCCCTTCTTGGCTTCTTTATTGCTCTTTGTTATCCCGGTGTAGGAGCCCCCCCCCGCCATTGGCTCCCACTTCTCCTGTGCAAGGTTATTTTTTTTTTAAATAGCAAATCCTTTCTGAGCCCTCTACGCGACCTCTGTTGCCGATTTCCCCCGCGTGTGCAAAAAAATGAAAAAACAAAACAGAATAGCAACAGAAAACTACTTTTGGATTTTGTCCTTGATCAAAATTTGCATTGCTTTTTTCCCCACACCTTCTTCCCCCCCCCCACCATCTCTCTCTTTCTCTCTCTACAGATAGCCTTAGAGACTATTTTAGCAAATTTGGAGAAATTAGAGAATGTATGGTCATGAGAGATCCCACTACGAAACGCTCCAGGTAAACCATTGCCTTCTGGATTTTGTCTTTATTTTAGAACAAAGTTTAAGTTTTATTTTTGGAGGTGTCTTCGGAAGTAGCTAAGCGGATTAGAATGGGGCTCAGGCGCGTGGCTGATCTCGAACGGCGCTCTCTACCACCCCCACCGCCCCCCAGTCACCCTAGAGGTTATTGTTAATTGGAGCTGAACTCTGGATACAGAGATACCTATCTCTCTGCTTTAAGTCATTTTTTCCGTCGTTTCTTTTTCTCTGTTTAAAATGACATTCAGCTTCATTTACTTTTCACATAGTTTTTTTTTTTTTTTTTTTTGGTCTTAATGTATGTTTTCCTCACACTCGTAGCTCCCCAAACTCTTAAGTTCCCTCTTAGAAAGATGGTGGTGAATCTCTTCTAAGTGCCGGGCTTTCTTCGGAATAAAACAAAGCGTTAAGAAAGGGAAGGGGAGGAGGAGAGGAAACTGAGGTGGCCAAAGAGTGGAGGCACCAGCATTTTCCAAGTTACCTCCACCCGCCCTGCCTCCGTTCCACCTCCCCCATTAACCTGGATGCTTTTTCTTGCGAGGTGGAGGGCTGTAGGCAGGAGGCGAATTGGAGGAGGGAAGTGGGAGTTGGGGGTGCGTGGGGGGCAACTTTTGGTCCTCATTCAGCCGTAGGTCTCACTCCTTGTTGCTTTCAATGGTATCACATTTTCTTGTTTGTTTTTCTCCCTCTTTGTCTCCTTTCAGAGGCTTCGGTTTCGTCACGTTCGCAGACCCAGCAAGTGTAGATAAAGTATTAGGTCAGCCCCACCATGAGTTAGATTCCAAGACGGTAGGTTGCTTTTTGTTGTTGTTGTTCACCCCTTTTCAGGAACGATCTGGGCATTGACAGCCCCATTTAAAGGGACAGCGCCTTCTTTTGCTTCTGTGCTAGAACTGGGTAGTTTTAAACTGAGCTAGTGAGTTGGCTCAAAAGTTTGCTGCTGTGGCTGGCCTTGGGGTTTTCTTTTTAGAGCCTGTCCCATTGCAGCTTCAGGTGCTGCCAAGGTTAGGCTTGGGGAGGAGGGGGTTCGGCTCCGGGAGAGTCTGCCTTTCCGGCCTGGGGACTGTGCAGAGAAACTCCACCAGAGAGCAAATGCAACTTTTCTTTGTCAGCCAAGCCCAACACGCGTTACCAACTGTGGCTGTGGGGGTCGGTTTTGAGAAGGCACAGCCGCTTCGTGGCCGAGGGGGACAGCAGTGGGAAGGAGGGGAGAGGGCACTAATTACAGGTCCAGGCAACAGGTTCCTCTTGGGGCACTTGGGATTTGGAATGTGGTTTGGGAAGGGAAGGGGACGCTGGCAGAGCTGAGCTGGGCATCCACTGGGGTGACTCCAGATGGCCTAAAACTGATAAGGCCGGGGGGTTTCAAAGTGATTTTTTTTCTTCCTTTTCTTTCTCAGATCCTTTGATTTGAATGTGGGTACTTTTGTACATTAGCTGTTTTAAAAATTGAGAGTAGAAGGGGGAAAAGTTTCCAGGCAGAGGTCAGAAGGGGAAGGGAAGAGTGTGTGTATATAACAATACATTTAATGAAAGGGGGAGTTTGCAGTGTTTTATTTAGCCCCCGTGTGGGCTTCCTGCCTCTCCTCCCTTCCCTTTATGTCTACCAGAGTTTCCCCATGGCTTTTATTAATATATATCTGCCCAAAGCAGAGGCCTTAAGATGACATTGGGCTAGAGTGCCGGGTTGCATGAACTTCACTCCTCTGTGTTGGGGTAGTGGGACAAGGCCAGAGATGGGGTTCTACCTCCATCCACCTCTTATGAACGGGAGCAATCATTACCTCTGGGTCTCAATTTCCTCTTCTGTAAAAGAAGTGGACCCAGGTGATTTTTCAAGTCCCTTTTGGCTTTAACACTGAATGGAGGAGAAGGAAAGGGAAGAAAGAAACCCGGCAACCTTCGGTGCACTTGAATTGATTTTGCAAATTCACCCTCTTTCTCCGATCAAAGAGATTAGGTGTTCGTGCCTTCTCCCAAGAAAGAAACCCACCTACACTCTTAGTTGCTCTATTAATTGTGCTGGACTTGTCATAACTTGCATGCAGCCCAGACTTTTTGTACTTTTAGGTAATTTAATTTCAGAAATCATTTGTAGGATGGTAACGGATGTCTGAAGAGTTTTTCTCTCCTTGATTTCTTGGCTAGACATTTCAAAAAGCTAGTGAAATTAAAGAGGAAAATCTTTTCAAGGCAAATTTGGGAATTTATCATCCACCCCCTCTTGCTACCTGGGTGGGAGAAACAGTATTTGGTTTCTGTGGTGGCTGGTGGGTCATATTCCTCGGTCGCGGGGGCAAAGCCTGCAGTTCCCCACCCCCATAGTTTGTAGACGTGTTTTGGTCACTATTATTTAGTGTAACCTAGCTTTTGACTTTGTTTCAACGTTCAGTGCAGGAGGCAGAAGCGGTTGGTTTATTGACATGGAAACGAGGATCTTGTTTACTGTTACCTTAAAAGCTTTGTTTAGGTAACGGCCATTCACATCCAAAATAGTACCCTAGTCTTTTCCTAGAGGACTTGTAGCTACAGTAAGTAGAGCTGTAACTAACTAATGTTTTAATTTTTGGTAGTTTTCTTTTTTGTTTGTTTTTTTTTTTAAAAAAAAAAATAGTTGCCAGGGATGTGCAAAAGGTTGGGATTTGCCATGCTTGACCCTTCCTCTCCTTCAGCGTGCAAACTTTACACACTGAGGACTCCAATCATGATACAATGCGCTGATATGGCTGCATACCATGCAGGAGTTCTGAATTGGCTTTTTCATTTTTCAATTTAAATATATATATATATTTTAAGTACTTCACTTTCTTCATTGCATCTTACTTCTTCCAGCTCCTGGCACCTCCCTTGACCTCCCCCACACCTGTTACCCCATAAACAAGGTGATTTCTGATTGCAGTCGTGTGCCGGTCAACTAAAAATAATCCTCTGGGGGGTGTTTTATGAAAAGACACCACTGTCTTACGTTTGGTCAACAGAATGGAAAATCCACACCTGTTGTATTTCTCTCTTAGACAAGCGCTAGTCAGCGCTGGACACACCTGTAGATACAGTAATGTTAATCTTTACGAAAGGGTAGTTTTCTAGATCAGAGATTTTTGTCTACTTTAGTTTTCAAAAAGTAATCTCTCATTTCTCAGGTGATGGTTAAAGGTAGGAAACGCAATGCAGATTTCATGAGGTCTTTAAGCCACCGTAATAACAGCAGTAAATCCTCGTGTATCTTCCTGGCTGGGACCTTAGGTGATGTAAGTCAAGGAACAAATGAACCACCCCCACCCCCACCTCCATACTTTCCTCCGAGGCATTACTCTTTCTCTTTCCGTCTCTTAGGGCAGAAGTGAAAACAAAGCTCAGATTTACTTTTTAAAAGGAAAGCATTTTAATATGAAAGCCAAAGCCTAGAAATAAATAACTAGTAGCAACGTTTATACTACTCTCTGTGTTACATTTTTGCCCAAAGATTTGTGACATTGAGAAATGGAATGAAAACTGACAATGGGACTGTTTTCAAATTTCTTTCCTCTTCTTTTCATCTGCCAGTAACTTTTTTCCTCCCCCGCATCAGCCTGTTAGATTCACATGCTTCCGGGAGAATTGCTCTGAGTGGTACAGCTAGACCCTGATGGAGCATCAGGTGTTCTGCAAATGTCTGATTTGGACTGGAGGATATTTTTCCATTCGGATTGAGGTTGGGGGTAGGGGAATCCCCTACTTGTTGCACTAGATTCTGACTCTTCCTTTTGTTCAGTTACTTTTTTTTTTTCCTTTTGTGCCCTCCCCAAGTTGGGCTGTCTTTCCTAATTTGGGTTTAGGTTGCGCATAGATTTTTACCCCCTGTTTTTAAAATCCAAGTGGATTTAGCTTCATTTTCTTCACTTAAAAAAAATTGTTTTTTAATCTTTTGAGGTGTAACTACAGAACAGATCTTTTTGATTAATCCTGGGTAAATTTACTTTTGCTAAAATGAATTAATTAACTCAAGCAGAGCATTGTGTTAGTTGTCTATGGGGAGTTTTTGGATGTTGTTGATTTAAAAAATTTTTGGACTCTCCTTCTCCTCCTGTTTTGTTGAGTTATAATTAGGGAGAAGAAATACCATCCGATTACCTACTGCTAGAGAATAGTTAACATTTAATTTTCAGGTTATGATTTTTTTCCCCAATGATAATGATGCTCCCATCTTTTCTTCCATCCACGCATAGCAAATTAGATGCAGATACCATTTAATATTCAGTGTCTGGAAGAAGAAGCCCTTGCTTAAATAAGAATACGTGAGATCTGGTTTGTTAAGAGCATCACACACTGAAATGCATGGTGGGTCATTTCAGAAATGCTGGCTAGCTATGTTAGTTATAAGATGTATTGGAGGAAAGGTTGAAGTTGAGATTAAAGTTTAAGACACTTTTGAGTTGCATGAGAAGTTACTAAAAGCTGTATTATAAGCCTGAGAAATGAGTGATTAATAATTAGGTGATTAATCATATATTTTTTCCTTTTCTTAAAGTATTTTATTGATACCTGTTTTTCTATTTTTTTCCCAGATTGACCCCAAAGTTGCATTTCCTCGTCGAGCGCAACCCAAGGTAAGTAGGAGAATCAACAGTAAGATTTTAGCACTCAGAGGTGATTGCCAAGAATTTCAAGTTTCAAACAGCATTGGCAATGAACTGTTGAAGCCTGGTATTCACTGTTCCTTCGGGGTATCAGCAAATGATGGCAATAGGCCGGGCAAGTAGTCCTGTGAGATAACCATGCGTCTCTAAGTTAGCCATCCCAAGGTGGCTTCTGAACATCCCCCTGGGGGCAGGGACGAGTCTGATGCTTAGTGGGAGAACGTGGCTCCATCCACTGCAGTATTTTTTGCAAGTATTGTATTTATTTTTTGAGCCTTGATCAAAATCATATCGGGAAAAGTTGAACATTTCCTTGTGACTCTTTTGGAGGGTACTCCTTTGAGGCTTTACTACTTGAAGTTTATGGAGAGGAGTAGAGTTTAAGTAAACAGTTGATCCTTTCTTGGAAAAAAACAACTTCTTAGGCCTGTAAAGCCTTAAATCTGAGAGAGGTAGCAGTGGATATCTTGGTTTCAGGTTGGTTGGATAGGTCAGGGCATACTTGAAACCAACGGTGCTTCTCATTTGTGTAAGTGCTGGTGCCTGGGTGGAGAAGTCCTGAAAATGTTGTAACCTTGTAGGAGTGGTACTACAAGACTTGCTTAAAGAATCAAGATAGGGCTTCACTTTTTTAGAAGTGTGTAGTTAACATAGTTCTCACTGAGCTTGCCAGGTGTGGCTATGAGAACACAGCTGCATGAAGCAGGAAGGTTACGTTGGAAAGGCTTGTGGCTTACATGTTACGTAGATACTTAGTTATACTTTTTTTCTTCCCCATATAGCATCGGAAGAAATGTTTCTATGTACCTTCTGAATTTGTTATTCTTTTAGGGAAAGGGAATAAGTTGAAGCTTCTGATTGTAAGTGGTAAAGGGAAGGGGTTGTGGCTTTAGCAGACCAGTTTATTCCTTTAAGCGTAGTCTCCCAGAAGTGGAACCTTTTAATTGTGTAAAGGGAGGAATGGTTTTGTGCATTAACATAGAAAAAGTCAGTGATTGTGACGATACTTCGAGAATTTCAGGTCTGGAGCCTACCACTTGATTAATTGATTGATTCTTTCCTTCTTTCTCTCCCTCCCTCCTTATTCTCTTTCTTCTCCCTTTTTTTAAAGAAACACAACTTTTTAAGTAAATACTATGAAATATTTTCTTACGGCTTTTTTCCCCCCTCTAATGCTGAAGCAAATGATAGGGATGAATGAGCTAAAGAGATTAGTTTATTTCTGTACTTAGCACAAACTTTGGAATTGTCGTTAGTGTTTTAGTTACTTCCCAAACGGTCTGTGATCCTTCACATTTCAGAGGGCTTCTGGGTTTGGAAGAACTGCCGTTTCTTCTGTAAGTGTGAGTCTTTCAATTTCCAGGTTAGTCATTTGATCACTCAGAGCTCGTATCAGATTACCCAAGAGGGAAGCTGGAAAAATCCCTTACTTGGTAAAACCATGGGTTTGACCTGTTTTCCTCTCCCCCTTGTGATCCCCCTTCCTTAACTTTGTTTTTAAATGTGGAAAGCAGTATTTCACTTTAATATACTCTGCAGTGGTGCATTCAACTTGAAAAAGAGACACAATAGTTTTCAAACTTGTCAAAAGTGTGCATTCTTTTCCCAACCCCCAGCTCCACATCTGGAATGTCAGTAGGTGAATTAACATGAAACCAGTTAGGGGAGAGCATCTTTCCGTGAATTCTAGGGATTTAATAATAACACCTTACCGTGTATGACACACTTCACTTTACAGAGGACTCTGCTGTTCGTGATCTTCATCTGAATTCCATCTCCTGGGGCATTTGGCTGTTGCCCCTGAACTTCCCCCAGTCTCAGTGTGCCCATCTGTAAAACACGAGTGGTGACAGTAGCTCTCTCAGAAGGTTTTTGTGAAGAGTAAAAGAGCACGGTCCCCGGCAAAAGTTTGTGTCACTGCCATTATTTTTATTGTCGGCTTCCTCATCATTGTTCTGGTTGTTGTTTGCAAGCGGGACAGCCTGGGTTCAGATGCTGATGGTGCCACTCCTTAGCTGTGTGAATTGGAACAGATCATTTAACTTCCTTGAACCTTAGCTTTGCCATCTCATAGAGTTTTTCCACAGATTTAAGTAAATAAAGGTAAAGGGACTGAAAAAAATAAAAAAAGACATGTTGCATGGTAGTGCTATAGAAGCATTAGCCTGCTATTTTATTTTTTATCTTTTATTTTTTGAGATGGGAGCTCACTATGTTGCCCAGACTGGTCTTGAACTCCTGGGCTCAAGCTATCATCCCACCTCTGCCTCCTAAAGTACTGGGATTATAGGTGTGTGCCTGGCCACCCTGCCACTTTTTACTGTCGTTTTTATTAGGTCCTCACGTCAATCCTGTGAGAGGTTGAGTAATAATAATGATATTAGTTAAATGTATATGCCAGGCACTATTGCAGGGGCTTTCTTAATCCATGTAATCCTCACACAGCCCTATGAGGAGACTACTAGTATTAGCTTCTTTTATAAATGAGGAAATTGAGGCACAGATGGATGTCTAGGAGCCATACACAGGCAACCTGGCTGTATGTAGAACTGGACCCTTCACCGACGTGCCATGCTGTTGGGGTACCTCCAGGGATGGCCTCTCTGTTCTACAACAGGAGATGGGCTCAGAGAGGTCAGTAGGCTGCACTGAGGGAACCATCGCCAGAGGCCTAGGACTTTGAAGTTCCGCGTTCCTGGGCCTGGGTGATTTGCCTTACCCCGCCATGTGTGTGACACGGTCTTATATCTTTCCATCCGACTCCTCAGGCCATCTTTACAGATGGTTCTGGAGTTGCTCAACCTCAGTGAGGCAACAGAGTAATTGCCAAGGTTGTATGGTGGTTGGGAATTGGGACTGGGTGGGGAGAATGTGTCTTCCCTGTCTACAGTGATTTTCCAACAGAATTTGAGACTGGCCACCAGGATTTCAAACCGGAGTTAGTGTTGGGGGCCAAAACCCGGCCGGCAGAAGCATAGAACTTTAAGTTGAGCGTGATTTATTTATTGTTTGTCTCCCTCCAATAAAACTTCTGCGTTTTTGTGTTCAGGTCACAGTGGCAGAGGGAACCCTGCCCCTCCTTGTGGGCCGGGCAAGGAGCTTGTAAATGATATGTCAGTGTGTGTTTCAGTTCAAATGCGTTTCTCTGCTTTCTGGCTGTCCCTGCTTGCTAGCGCTCGCCAGAGAAATATTCCGTGGAGGTGTTAAAACAAGACTAGTGGAAAGAAACTGTAACTTAAAACGAAAGAAAATCCATGGCAGTGAAGAACAGATTTCATATTAGTACTGTCATAATATTCTCTAATGTATCATATAAATAAAAATCTGTTTAGACCAGAATTTTAATGAGCCACCAAAGGAAGGTTTTGAATCCTGCAGTTTATTTATCCCACTTTGTGATGTAAATGTTCACATCTCAAGTGAAGTAGAGTGGGGCGACTCTCTGGAGACTAGAGGTCATTAATTAGTGAAGTATATTTTGATCAGGGGAAGAAGACTGGTTCATTCTATATCCTCCTATTTCTCTGGATGATTATTTCATTTTGTAAAATATGTAAGAGTTCCCCTCCTTATCTTTTTAAAAATTAAAATGATCATGCTCCTCTAAAAAGATGACTTAATTTGAAGCCTTTGGAGACACGAGGATGATGGGGATCCATCACTCCCTGTTCTTTCTTCGCTCCCTTTGGACTGGAGCGTTGGCTGCCTGGAAGAGTTTTGCTTGAGCTCGTGGGTTCTTTTCTTGTGTGTCAAGGAACCAAGAGACTCCTTAACATCTTTCAGCAAGAGCGAGGTCTGGATCTACTCACCATCTCTCTTAATTATCCTTGTGTATAAGAAAACATTTCCACCTTTTCCAAATTGCCATTTTATTCCTTAACGTTTAGAGGCCAGAACCTCATCTGTTGATCCAGAGAGATCTCACTTCTTTAACCTGTTTCTAGCTGCCTTCAGTCACAGCAGGGTGGCCAAGGGCGAGTCACTTAAGCCTCCCCAAGCCTCAGTTTCCTCCTCTGTAAAACAGGGAGAATGTAGGACTCACCACCTGGGGTTGTTTGGAGGATAAATGCAACATTCTTCACTGGGAGCCTGGCATAAAATAGCACCCCACAAATGTCTGTTGATCTTATTATTACAGAATTATTATTATTATTATTATTATTATTATTATTTTAAGATGGAGACTCGCTCTGTTATGCAGGCTGGAGTGCAGTGGTAAGATCTTGGCTCACGGCAACCTCCGCCTCCCGGGTTCATGCAATTCTCCCACCTCAGCCTCCCGAGTAGCTGGGATTACAGGCACCTGCCATCATGCCCAGCTAATTTTTGTATTTTTTGTAGAGACGGGGTTTCACCGTGTTGGCTAGGCTAGTCTCAAACTCCTGACTTCAGGTGATCCGCTCACCTCGGCTTTCCAAAGTGCTGGGATTGCAGGCATGAGCCACCATGCCGGGGCATAGAATTATTTTAATAGAATGAAGAAAAGTACAATGGTGAAATGACTGAAGAAAAATCTTAATTGGAATGTAAGCTCTCTGAGGGCAGGGAACTATTGGTGGCTGGTGGTTAGTAACTAAATGAATGAACCAAATCCAGCCTGCCTTCTTTACCATGGAGATGGCTGCTACCCAGTAAAGTTACGTTGGTTGCCTCAGGTTCACAGTTAGATCGTAACAGGGCTGAGCTAGCAGCCAGGTTTTCCTGTTTCCATTGTGTTCTCTGACGTGACTTCAGGGCCCTGGAAGGTTCTCTGCTGATCATGTGTCCAGATGCGTGCAGTGGCAGCCCGAGCATGTATATGCACACCTTGTGTTCTGGGGGAGTGGTTTCTTGGCAGCTTCTCAAGGGCGAAGGGTGAGTTTTCGGGATCTGGCCTTCCCTTGCTGCTGTGGGTCAGGTCATTCTAGCATCTTGCCGTCTTGGATGATCTGCAGCTGTCATCTCGGCAGCCACCGTGAACCGGCCTGCCA